GAGAACAGAGCCCACGTGCACACGACTTGGAGGTCTCTGTCCGGATGGAGAGCTAGCCGGAGATCACAGAGACTGGGCCAGCCCAGAGGAGGGAGGGAGAGCAAGGGAGGAGTTACTTACAATTGGTCGGGCGTGGTCTGTAGTCAGCCTGGGGCACCAGACAGGGTCAAGGAGAAGTGAGGGGGCCTCGAACCCAGAAAGGGGAGGCATGCAACCTCAGCTCCCAGGTTTCGGCACCATCTGCAAGGTGTCCGGCACGTAACAAATCTTCCACGCAGACGAATCAATTAATTCACAGGCTTTTATTGGGGTCCCACTCCCGGGTGAGGTTCCCCGGTCCCAACAGAGCAACAGAGCGGGGGCCGGGGAAGTCGCGCATCAGAGATTGGGAGGGCTCCTTTTATAGACTCAGGGCACGGGGGTTAAAGGTTGAGGTGGGTCTGATCCTCACCGGTTGACCTTTAGGCACCTGCAGGGACCTTGACAAGGACTTCCCATTCCCGGAAGTGCAGGCCTTCCCTCCTTGCGGCTCCCAGAGCTACCAGGGGCAGGCCCAGAGCCTGCATTCTCTGGGACTGAGGTGCTTCATTTGGGATTGACCAAATGTTAAAAGTTCAGTTTTTCGGTCTGCAGAGAAGCCTGAACCCGGGGCAGCAGGTAGCAGTCTGCTTCCCTGGGCGCTGATGCTGATGCCCTCAACGCGCCCACATTTCCTACAGTTGAAATGAGGGACGTGGTGCGTTGCCGATCCTGGGCCCGTTCTGTGGATGGAACGGACCAAGCCGAGTGGGAGCCTTTCTCCTGCGAGTTCTGGCGGTGCTGTGTGTTGTGGGGTTGGAGCAGCGAGAGGGGGAGGCAGCAGGTCCCGGTCGAGAACTCTTGACTCAAGGACCCGCCCTCCAAGGTCGCATGGCACTGATTGTCCCGCTCCATGGCTGGACCGCTGACCAGCGGCTCCTGATCACTCCAGGAGGAGAACGGAGGCTCCTCTGCTACCCAGACGCCCCCTCAAGCCCGCGTGAGCAAGGCCACACCCAGTCCGGCCAGATTCTGAGCTCCGCCCACCCAGCACCTAGGAGGCCGCCAGATCCCTCCCCTGAATCTCAGTCCCTGGTTCTGGAGAGCAGTGTCCTTCCTGAGTCTGCACTCACAGGGACGAGGGTCAGGAACTGTGCTATTCCCTGCTCTGGCCAAGGCTGGTGAACCTCGGCTCCTCACTCCAGCCCATCCACGTGTGTGCAGGCTGCGGCTCCAACCTGTGGGGGCGGGGGACTGTGCCAAGTGCCTGTCAGGAGCCTTGCCTGGCTGTGCATAGGGCTCCTGGCCTGGGAGAGGGTAAGTCTCTGTGGTGTGAAGGCAGCTGGTCATCTGTTACAGCAGCCACAGAAACAATAGAGAGAAGGAGGGAACCAGAGGTCGCTAGAGTGGGGCATAGGCGTGCAATGGGGAGTGGTGATGTGCACTTTGCATAGAGGGCGTGGAAGACAGGCAGCCCCATAGAGCTGTAGACGCCCAGAGTATCCCCAAAGGGCCAAGACCTGGCGCTGTCCGCAGTGCCTTGTGGGTATGAGCTGCCGGGGCTCCATCAAGTCTCCGGCAAGGCTGCCTGGGGCCTTTGGTGCACAGCTGAAACTGCTGACCCAAAAAGAGAAGCAAGCGGCCCGATCCGCACCCTCTCAGGTCTGTCTCAGACACCCCCAGTGAACAGCTGCAAGAGTTCAGTAGGAATCAGAGTCCTTCATTTTTATTTATTTGTTTTTTAAGAAACACATTTGGCTGTGGCAACTGGTATCCCAGCCTCCTGCATTGACTCAGGCGCCAGGAGTCCTTGAACAGAGATCAAGTTGAGAGCCCGTTGATTTATAGCGTCACGTGGGCTACACAGGAAGACCAGAGAGCCTGGGTTGTCTCTTGGCCTGGGTGTCTGTGAGCAAAGACAGGAACTCTGGGAGGCTGTTCCCGCTCCTGCCAGGTGCCCCAGCCCCCACCCCCGGCCCAGTGTCACTCGCCCATGCCTGCAGCTGTGGAGTTCTGGCTCTAGCTAATTGGTAGAGGACACCTGTTCCTTAATTAGCCCCAGCTCGAGGTCTGCATCTTCATCTGGGCTCCTGTTCAGCAGTCCATGCCTGTCTGCTCGCCATAGCAGGCCTGCGCCTTCCCGAGTGGTGAGCAGATCTGCACTCCTGAGCGCCAGAGGGGAAGCAGCCACATCCTAGCCACCACCCAGCCTTGGGCCGCATCTTCCGAAAGCCCTTCACTGCTGGTTCCCACCCTCAGGACGGACCTGCTGTCCCCAGGACCAGGTACAAGAACGCTGGGCTGATACGGACCCTCGTTTGGAGGGCTACAAATTCATACTCCCTGACACTTGCCTGGCACCTCGCATATCCTTCATATATATTAATTTACTTAAGATTTATTTATTTATTTGAAATGCAGAATGACAAAGACAGGGTGGCTGCAACAGCCAGGACTAGGCCAGGCCAAAACCAGGAGCCCAGAACTCCATCCTGGTCTCCCACATGGATGGCAGCGGCCCAAGCACGTGGGCCATCTTCCACTGCTCTCCCAGCTGCATTAGCAGGGAGCTGGAAGGGAAGTGGGGTAGCCGGGACTTGAACTGGCACTCCAACTTGGGATGCTGGGGTCACGAGCAACACCTTAACTCACTGCAACACAATACTGACCCTCATCTCATACTTCCTACTCCACCTTTTGTCCTCTACATGGGGGGCTCCCTCAGAGGGCTGGGATTCCACCCCCCAGGGGTTTACAGTATGAGACCTCAAGTGTCCCAAGATGAAGATACGGGCTCAGTGTCAGAACAGTCTGGAGGACAGGACCCAGGCGCTGCAGCAGCAGAATTCTCTGCCTGTCCTTTAAGTAATGGAACCTTCCAGAAACCTTTAGGCTCCGAAGATGAACTCTGACCTCCCACATGAGCCCACCCCCACGAAGCTCTCCAGCACCCACAGCTGGAGTCCATGTCTTCAGCTGGAGGCATCAGGGGTCAGAGGTGAACCACCCAGCACAGGCAGGCATGGCCCAAGTCTGGTTTCCCAAGGCCGTGGTATTTGGGAAGCTTTCGTGGCAAGTGGCTTTGTGTTTGTTCGCGCACCTGCTGTCTCCCTCGCCATCCTTCCAGAGAACGTCACCCGTGGAATGTCTGGAGTGGTGATCTTCCTGGGTGACTTCCTGATGGTGCCACAGAGACACTCACACGCAAGACCTGTGCTTGTGCGTGCAGTGCTGTGTGCACGGCCACCCTCCTCGGCCAGGAGGGTCTCTGCCCTCCCCGCCCCCCTCCAACCAAGCACATCCCTGCCCTGTCTCCTGAGCAGAGGCAGGGCCCGTGCTGGCCTGGGGACAGCGGAAAGGACTCCTTTCCGGAACCTCCGGGCCTGGTGACTGCCAGGCGCCTTCGCCGCCCGGCTAATTAGAGATGACTCCTTAAGCGGCACTCAAGTCCTCTGTCATTCGTCCTCGCAGCGATAATGGACTTGGATAAGAGGTCATTGCGGATGGGGCGGGGGCGGAGGCGGTGCAGGCTCAGCACCCCCTCTGCGGAGCTGCCGCCTGCCTGCCTGTCACGGCCCGGCTGGGCAGCTGTGACAGACTCACCCAAGTCACAGGGCCAGAGCCCCGCTCCCCGCGTCGCTCAGGCTTCCGCGCCGGCTGCTGCGTCTCTGGCGAGCGTCATTAGCATTAACGTGATAAAATGGCACAGTGTAAATGTTAATAAGGTCTAATTCTCCGAGCGGCTTCCGAGCGGCAGATTGGAAACGGTGCCATCATCCTACCTCCAGTGAGCGGCTTCTGACTCCTCTGTGCCCTCCCCCCTCCCCAGCCCCTCAGCAGCAAGGGCTCAGATCACCCAGACCCGTTTCCTGAGACAGGGTTTGACATTGGTTCCAAGTGAACACCCACTCACCCTGTTCTTCAAGGGGAGGGGGCTGAGGGGGTCCTACCACAGCCCCCACTTCTCTGACCAGCTCCCACCCCCACTCCAGACTCGCACTCCCGATTTCCCCAGGAGTGGCCGCTCTCTTCCTAGTCCCAGATATCTCTCTGAGTTATCTGCCCTGAAGCCATTGGCTCTGGTCCCCTGTCTGCCTGTCTGTCTCTCTCTCTCTCTCTCTCTCTCTCTCTCTCTTTCTCTCTTTAAGATTTATTATTTGAAAGGCAGAGTTACAGAGAGGCAGAGGCAGAAGAGAAAGAGAGGTCTTCCATTCTTCTGGTTCACTCTCCAGATGGCCGCAATGGCCGGAGCTGAGCCGATCCAAAGCCAGGAGCCAGGAGCTTCCCCCACCCCAGGTCTCCCACGTGGGTGCAGAGGCAAGGACTTGGGCCATCTTCCACTGCTTTCCCAGGCCACAGCACAGAGCTGGATCGGAAGTGGAGCAGCCGGGACGCGAACAGGCACCCATATGGGATGCCAGCACTGCAGGAGGTGGCTTTACCCGCTAAGCCACAGTGCCGACCCCTCCCTGTCTCTTTAAGCCACAAGCGTGGCTGGGGGGCGACACCCTGTACCCTCCTCTGAGCCCTTGGGGGGGCATCCTGTCCTGGGCTGTCTTGTCGGGGTTTCTGCGACCTCACTTCCTGGGAATCGGAGGGCCAGAGCCGGGGCTGCTGCTTTCCCTCGTGCTCGCTTCACTTCCCAGCTCTCGCGTGCGCACAGCCAGCTCGGTGCTGGGCACAGCGCTGGATCCGTTCTTGCTGAGGAGAGAGAGTGGAGTGGATGCTGTCCCTAGGGTGCTGCCGGGCCCTGCCGGAGAGGCACAGCAGAGTCGGGAGTGGGAGCAGCGGCCAACAGGCAGGGCTCTGGGGCTCCTCTTCCACCCCAGCCCTTGGCAGCCACCCGAGCTGGGGGACCCCAGGGAGCCCCCGCGGCCCAGGGGCACCCTTGAGTTAGGGCCGGGCCTTCGCTGCGGCAGAGGCTGCGTGAGCCCGAGGCCGCCTGCGGCCCTAGCCCCCCTCACTCTTGTTCTCGTCACCAGGCTGCCTTCACCGTCTTCCTCGGACCCTTCACCTTCTTTGACGTCCAGAAGACCAAGTACCTGCAGCTCCTGACCTCCCTGATGCGATGGGTCGGTGAGTGCCAAGCATCTCCCTTCCTGCCCTCTCCACCTCCCTGAGAGGCTGGGGCTCCCCGGGCTGCAGTGTGCTGGCGGCTCCTCCGGACCCAGGTCCAGTCCTCTGCCCTTTCCAGCAGGCAAGGGGGAGGCAGGGACTCTGCCTGCCTCCTACAGGTGGCCGAATTTAGCACCCCACCCCCAATATGTGACTTTCTTCGCTGTCACCTGTGTGGATGGAACTTACGGAACTTGGCCTGCTGGGACTGCGGGTCCCAGGGCCAGCCCCTTTCCATACCACTGTGCTGGACCCCTACCTGCCTGCAGACTGCTGACCCGCAGGCCTGGGTTGGGCAGTGCCCCTGAGGGAGGCTCACTGGAGTGGCACCGCTCTGGTTCTCATGGGTGTGCCGTGTGGCACAATCATAACACCAGGCATGTGGGGGCAGCCATTCTGTGCCGCGGCATCAGCCACCAGAGCATGAAAAGATGCCCCAACCACAGTGGCTTCTGACCACCTGACACCCAGCTGAGCAAGCCTGCCGTTGTCCTCAGCTAGAATTTGGGGGTCTCTCCCTTAAAGGTAGGCAGTAGGGAGCTTGTTACTTCCGCCACACTGCTCACCAGCCGCTCCAGGGACGGGACCAGCTGCTAATCTACCTGGACAGAGGCTGAGGGCGGGGGCCAGCATGTGCCCTGGGTGTGTGTCACCTGGGTGCTGGTTTCACGTCTGAGAACAGGAAAGGCCGTTGCAGCTCCAATGGAAGGGACTGAGCTGAGCAAGTCCTCCCGGAGCCAAGGGTGCCTCCTGGGAGCTCACCTGCCTCACAGAGGCTCCGCCTTCCTGACCCCTCCCCCAGCCCCCTTGTTCTTCCTCCAGTTTGTGGTCAACCTGTAATGCTGGTACATTTTCAGTGTGTTTGCCCCTCCCCCCGCCAGGCCCCTGCGCTGCACCTGGCTCCTGATTCCTACCCAGATCCAGCACAGATCGGGGTGCACTGAGGGCAGTTTCTAGTCCCAGAGACTGTTGGCAGTTCTAGCGTCTGTAGCCCCGCGGTTCCCCTGCTCAGAGGGTTACAGATCCCGGTATAAGGAGGCGACGCCCGGGCGTCCTGGCGTCTTTATCTGGAAGAGAGCAGTGGTCAGGCGGCCCTGTCCAGCAGCCTCCGTAGCAGGAGGAGCAGGGCAGTCCTGGGGCCTGGGGAGCGCGGGGCGGCTGAAGCTGCTGCTGCTCACGTCGGTGCTGGGACTTCCCCGTCTTGAGCTAACCCTAACCCTAACCCTAACCCTAACCCAAACCCACCAGCTGCCTTCTTCCCACTCGTGGTCTGTCCCCGCAAGGAGACAAAAACAGGACACAGATCAGTTCCGAGGCGTTTGGGAGGCCCCACGGAGCGCGCCCTGCCCTCTTTCACCTGGCGTGCCCCCGTTTTCAATGCTGCCAGTCTGTGGCCCAGCTCCCGTCGGGCCCTGCAAGTCCGGCCCCGGCCCAGCTCCCAGGTGGCCATCTGTGACGTGCCTTGTGAGTGGTGGGAAGCACTGGCCCCGGAGGACAGGGACAGAATAGGGCTGACCGGAGGGGTCACCCGTGTTTAGCCTACGTGATGGGTTTCTGAGTCAGCCCGGGAGGGACGGCCGCCAGGCAGTAGCCCCTGCAGCCCCCCGTGCCTGTGTAGCGTGACGGATTCCTCTGTGCATCTGGGGAGCAGCACACTCTTTAAGAGGGAGAGGAGGTGACCGGCAGTAATTAAGATCCCAGATGCACCCAGGCTTGGGGCAGGGCAGCAGCCTCCTCTGGGGCTGCAGGGCCCGGGCCTCTGACAGCAGCTTGCAGCAGCTGTTAGGGCTAGGGTTTGCCAAGGGCTTTGGCTAGGGCTAGGGCAGACGTTAGGGTTCGGGTTAAGGTTTGGGCTAGGGTTAAGGCTGTAGCTAGGGTTAGGGACAGACCAGGCTCGGCTGCTCTAGGACATCTCCAGCTGTTTCCTGGACGGCAGGGCCTGCCCGGCTGCTCCTGAGTTTTGCTCTCCCTCCTCCCCATTGGATTCTTCCTCCAGAGCACGGCAGGCACCACCATCGGCCCCTGTGAAGAGGCCCCGTCAGGCTCAGCCTGGGTGCCCTGGGTGCCCTGGGTGCTGTGAGGCCCCGGCGCCCTGGAGGCAGCCCTGCGGTGCTGCAGGCCCAGGTGACGAGGCCTTGAGGGAGTCTAAGTTTGTCTTCCGGTGGTGACGTTGCTGTCCTTGGTCGTCCGCCTGCTCGCTCCCTCTGACTCCAGAGATAACGAGACGTCCCAGCCTCTCGGTGCCCTTTGCTGGGGCACTGTCACGGTGACAGCACCGGCTGCTCGGTCTCTGAAGAGAAACGGCCCCGGTGAGGAGACCAGGGCAGGAGGCCTCCTGGGCGGTCCTAGGTCAGATGCAGGTGCTTTCCTGGCCTCTCCTTGGCCGGGGAGAGCCAGAGTCCCTGGGGCCCCACCCAGAGCAGGCAGCCGCGCAGGCTGGCCTAGATGTGGGGCTGGACCCTGGGGGGTCTGCCTCTCCTGCACGCCAGGCTCCCCAGGCTCCCCAGGCAGTTTTTCTGGAACTACCCCGAAAGCAGTGATCTCAGAAGCCCGCTCGTCCCGCGAGCTCTCTGCCAGATTGCCAGTCTGCAGCAAGCTGCCTTGTCCTCTTGTGGAAGGCAGCTGTGTGGCCGCCTCGGGCCCGCACACGACCCTCCCTCTCCCCAGCTTCGGGCCAAGCGTTTCCAGGGTGGCAATAAACCAGCTTGGGTTCCAGGAAGACAGAGGGGGAGAATGAGCACCAAAGGGACCGGAAAATCATAAATAAATGTGCTGAGCCGGAAACTTTCTCGTGCCTAATTAGGAATTTGTTCTGCCATCTGTTGAAACGAGGCCGGGGGAGAGTGCGGGCCCTGAGCAGCGCCGGGGGCCTTCGGATCAGCTCCTCCCAGCGCTCATGCTCGGCTCTCGGCTTGGCCCTTCCCCAGTTCCGCTGCCCAAGTAGGATTTAAAGGGTTAAACGGCCATTGCGCGGAGCTCATTTCCCAGGGGAAGTGTTGGGCGCTGTTTCTTCTGCTCCCCTGTGAGTTCTGAGAGCCCAGGCTGGGCAGGTTGGGGTACCTGGACTGCAGGTACAGCCCTGTGCCAGGAGGCTCGGGTTGGTTTTGCTGTCCCCAGCAGGTGCCACGGCGGTTCTGGCCTCCGCAGGGCTCCTGGCCAGGCCCTGTGGTCCGGTCAGCTCCCGGGTGGGCTGAGCGCAGCCTTGGTTCTGGCAGCCGGTTTGTACCCGCTGTCACACCTACCCAGGGTCACACCACACCTCCTCACCTGTTCCCTCCCACGTGGATCAGTGGCCACTCTCGGTGGGCGGGCCAGACCAAGCTCCCCAGCTCCCTTGTCTGCGCCTCAGCAGCGAGGACTCACCTCACTGGGGCCGTGTGGAATATGCCCAGCACCCGGACAGCATCCAGACGTGCGCAGCAGGGGCCATCACCCTCCTCATCATCCTGAGTGGCCTCTGGGGCCCTCCCTGGAGGTGGCCATGAGATCAAGGACAGGACCCCCGCCACGTCTAGAAAGCTGCAGGGCCCGGTGTCCATCCTGGGACCTGCACAGCCGCCCCCGGCCACTTGCCAACCGCAGTCCACGTGTGCACCCAGGAGGGAAACCCTTCCCCCAGCCTCTACCCATCACTCTTGACGAAGCTCGGAGCCTGAGAATTGAGAAGCAGGCCCAGCGCGTGGGGCAGGAGCGCCAGATCTGTCCGCAGTCAGTGGCCAGGACACCACCCACAGGGGAGCAGGGGAACGGTGCCCATGGCTGCTCCCACCTGGGATACCTGCCGGCTGCCCGGTGGGAGCTCAGGCCAGGAGGAGCCTTGTTACTCAGCCCCCGCGGATGCCTGCAGCCGCCGCACGCATGAACAGCTGGCGCAGCTCAGGGCGTCCCGACCGGCGTTATTAAAAACCCGATTCTTTCTAATAAAGGCTGCTCCGGAGCACTGCCTCGCTGGGTCTGGCTGTCTAGGACCCGCAGGCTCCCTCCCCTCTGCTTGTGTATTCAGAGCAGACACCACTGTGTCTCTGTGTTCCCCTCAAAGTGGGTCAGACGCCAGCCTCCCCGGGCACTGGTGGATAAACTTGAGCCTGCCTCGTGAAGTCTCTCGGCCTAGCTGTCCCCACCTCCCCCCTGGCAAGTGCCCCAGATTTGTTCTCCAAACCAGAGAGAGAGGCAGGACTCCGAGGTGGTAGCAGGAGTGGGCAGGATGACCCCAAGAGAAGATGTCCCCTGGGAACAGAAGGGCACTCTGGCTTCCAGCCATCCCAGCTCCAGGACTGACCTCAGGGGGTGTCTCCCAGCAGGGGCTGCTCTGCTCGGTCCCCAGCAGTAGCCAGGGTCTGTGTGCTGGGCCATCTGTTGCCTGCTGCCGCCAACCTGGCATCTGAGTTCCTGCACAGCCACCCGCCCGGTGCCTCTCGGGAGTCCAGGTAGGGCTCCCCCTCCCACCCGGCGCCCCATCCTAGACAGACAGCGCGTTCTGCCGCCTGCGCGCTGTGCACACGCTGACAGGGCCAGGCAGCCTAAGTCCCAGGTCAGCCCTGGTCAGCCGAGCGAGGCATCTGACCCGGCGACGGTTCCAGGCCTCGCAGCGCAGGACCTGCAGCTCCGGAACTTCCGACGTCCTTGTCCTGGGCCGCTGCTGTCTCCCTCGCCCTCTCTCCTTCCTGGATTCTCTCTGCTTGAAGGGCCCAGCAGCCTCCCAGAGGGGTGGTTGTGGCTAAGACGCAGGTTGCCAGTCCACAGGAAAGGGAACTGGAGACGCCCCTCCCCCAGGTTCCACCTGCCAGCCCCGAGCGTGTGGAAGGGAGACTCGGCTGCTTCCGAGGCTGGAATCTTCCCTTGGTCCACACCACCCCTCCCACCCCATGTGGAAAGAGTGGGTGCTCTGGGAACTCACTGAGCCGGGGAGGGGGCCCAGGCCTGTGCTCTGCTCTTCTGCCCTGATGAGGAGTGGGCGGGGC